CAGGAAGCACGCTTTGTTCCAGAGCCAAATGAGAATCATGATTTTAAGGTCCCCCCAAAGTGGCCTCTGGATGGCTAAAGGAACTGGTATCAAAATACAACCTCACTTTTCAAAGTTACTATTTTAAATCAAGCCTAGGTCAGAAGTGACCAAAAGTTTCTACCAGCTGTTTTATTGCCTAAGTAAAATGAGTCTGTTGGTCTCACTCAAATTGCCATAAAATTTTCATAAAAACTGCTAGCGTAATTGGCATCCTTCAGTCTCAGAAGAAAGGTAAAGGACAGAATGGGCTTGGAGAATGGAACCACTCTCTTGTTCCTAAAGGTTCTGAGTTAGCGTTGGGAAGCCTGCACTACCTCTGTGTCTATTGTTTGTATAAATAGTCTCTGGTAGCCATTTTAAGATGAACCAAATGTGATAGACTGGACATTTTGCCTGAGGTTTGTGTTAAAATATTTCACATGCTCTCTCTGTGATGCAGTGAATTCCTTGGCTGCTGAGATACCATACAGGAGGATGACCACACAATTAAAGGCACAACTCAGGAAATCCTTCTAAAAACAGACTAAATTGAAATCTGTGTAGTGATTGTGGAAACGCCTATGAGACTGAACAATTGGACTGCACATCTGATTGCAAGCTGCATACATCTCTGAAAACTTAACCTCTTCTCTAAGGGGAATTACTTAGCAAAACAAATCCTGATTATGAACCATATTCTGCTGAAACAGAAGGTGGAATTACAAGAGAATAAGGATTGCTCCCACACTATGCAAGTGTTAGAAATACAGTCTGAATAATAATTTCAGGAAGCCCTGTGGTATTTACAGAACAATTTACACAAATGCTTGACTGAAATATCTAAACCGATTGTGTGTGGAGAACAGTTGCCGCATTCAACTACAAAAGAAGGATGAAAGGAATAACTAAGTGGGCAATCATCCTGTGGACTTGACTTTTAAAATGTACAGAAGTTGTGTCCCTACTTTGCATACAATAAAATCAGGTAACTGCCTGTGCAAGTGGCCCATTAGATGCATAAATGGCCACTTGCACACACAATCATCCAGTTCCCCTGCACACTGCTGTAATTGCACATATAATTCTTTAACAAATTCAGGCACTGTACCTTTCATGGATATGAAAGGCAAAGTTTGTCCTGATAGCAGTGAGAAAGACTACGAGATACAAGAGAGGAAAATTGTATTTCCCCCAGATTCTGATGAGCAACATAGGCAAAATTTAATGTATTAATGCAGGGAAATTTTGGTCAGAGACACTGGAGTAAATATCTGCTCTTATAAAGGGGTACAGTATATATAACCTCTGGTATTCAGACACAGCAGGAGACAGGACTTGGGTTTTAAAAGGTCTCATCTAACTAGCTGTCAAGCTAGCAAACAGGATCAGCAAGGGAGTTCTTCAGATGAAGGAGAAGCAACTATGTGACCGTTGGGGTGAGTTTGTGGTCTGGTGCTTGCTTGCCATCTGCCTTCTTTATTGAAGCTTATAGGTCTCTTTTGGGGCCTGATAAAGTTATAAGTGTTTGCATACAAATGCTAGAAGTCTAAATACTAAGATGGGTGAACTAGAATGCCTGGTATTAAATGAGGATATTGATATAATAGGCATCACAGAAACTTAGTGGAACAATCATAATCAGTGGGACCCAGTAATACTAGGATACAATATATATATGAATGACAAAGTGGTTTGTGCTGGTTGGGGGTGGCACTATAAGTGAAAGAAACCATAGAGTAAAATATAGTAAACATCTTAAATGAATCAAACAATACCACAGAGTCTCTGTGGATAGAAATTCCATGCTTTTGACTAATAAGAGTAAAGCAGTAGGAATATAGTACTGACCATCTAACCAGGGTGGTGTGGTGGTGGCTGAGAAATGCACAGGGAGATGAGAAGCTACAAAAACTGAAAACCCAATAATAATGGGGGATTTCAACTATCCCCATATTGACTGGGACCCACATGTCACCTCAGGAAGAGATACTGAGATAAAGTTTCTAGAAGCCATTAATAACTGTTTCTTGGAGCAGCTGGTTCTGGAACCCACCAGGGGAGAGGCAGTTCTTGATTTAGTCCTAAGTGGCACACTGGATCTGTCCAAGAGGTGAATATAGCTCAGTAATAGTGACCATAATTAAACGTAACATCTTTGTAGGGGTGAAAATACTAAAGAAACCCACTGTAGCAGCATTCAAAAAGGAACTACACAAAAATGAGGAAGCTAGTTAAATGGAAATTAAAAGGAACCGTCACAACAGTGAGATTCCTGCAAGCTGCATGGAAACTTTTTAAAAACACCACAGTAGAGGCTCAAACTATACGTATACCACAAATTATAAAATACAGCAAAAACAAAACAAAACAAAAAAAGAAACCCAGAGTGCCAAAAAGGCACCACCACAGCTAAGCAACAGAGTAAAAGAGGTGGTTAGAAAGAAAAGGACATACTTTAAAAATTGGAAGTCAAATCCTACTGAGGCAAGTCAAGTGTAAAAGTATAATTAAGCCGACCAAAAAAGAATTTGAAAAGTAACTAGCAAAAGTCTGCTGCAGTTTCCTCGGTATGCATCCGATGAAGTGAGCTGTAGCTCACGAAAGCTCATGCTCAAATAAATTGGTTAGTCTCTAAGATGCCACAAGTACTCCTTTTCTTTTAGCAAAAGACTGAAAAACAGCAATTATTTTTCCACACACACAAGAAGCAGGAAGCCTGCCGGACAGTCAGTGGGGCCACTGGATGATTGAGGTGCCAAAGGAACTTTCAAGGAAGACAAGGCCATTGTGGAGAAGTGACATGAATTCTTCGCATTGGTCTTTACTGCAGAGGATGTGAGGGAGATTCCCACACCTGAGCCATTCTTTTTAGGTGAGGTATCTGAAGAACTGTCCCAGACTGAGGTCTCAGCAGAGGTGGTTTTGGAACAAATTGTTAAACTAAACAGTAATTGAAACTGCAGAACTATTAACTGTGGTATATAACCTCTCTCTTAAATCAGCCTTTATATCAGGCGACTGGAGGATAGCTAATGTGATGCAGACCTTTTTTTAAAACCCTCCATAGACAATTTGGCAATTACAGGCCAGTAAGCCTAACTTCAGTACCAGGCAAATTGGTTGAAACTATAGTGAAGAACAGAACTATCAGACATATCATAGAATATCAGGGTTGGAAGGGACCTCAGGAGGTCATCTAGTCCAACCCCCTGCACAAAGCAGGACCAATCCCCGATTAAATCATCCCAGCCAGGGCTTTGTCAAGCCTGATGAACATGATATGTTGGGGAAGAGCCAACCCAGCTTTTGTAAAGGGAAATCATGCCTCACCAATCTACTAGGTTAGAATTCTTTGAGAGTGCCAGCAAGGATCAAGGATGATCCAGTGGATATAGTGTACTTGAACTTTCAGAAAGCCTTTCACAAGGTCCCTCACCAAAGAAGTCATGGGATAAGAGGGAAGGTCCTCTCATGTATCAGCAGCAGGTTAAAAGATAGGAAACAAAGGCTAGGAATAAACAGTCAGTTTTCACAGGGGAGAGAGATAAACAGCAGAGTTTCCCAAGGATCTTTACTGAGACCAGTACTGTTCAACATATTCATAATATGATCTGAAAAAGGGGTAAACAGTGAAGTGGCAAAGTTTGCAGATGATACAAAATTACTCAAGATATTGTTAAGTCCAAAACTAACTGCAAAGTTACAAAGGAATCTCACAAAACTGGGTGACTGGGCAAGAAAATGGCAAATGAAATTTAATGTTAATAAATGCACACTGGAAGACATAATCCCAACTATACATACAAATGATGGGGTCTATCACTCAAGAAAGAGATCCTGGAGTCATTGTGGATAGTCCTCTGAAAACATCTGCCCAATGTGCAGCAACAGTCAAAAAAAAAAAAAAAAAAAAAAACCCCAAACAGAATGTAAGGAACCATTAGGAAAGAGAGAGATAAAAAGACAGAAAATATCATAACACCACTCTGTAAATCCATGGTATGCTCACACCTTGAATACTGCCAGCAGTTCTGGTCACCCCATCTCAAGACAGATATATTAGAATTGTAAAAAGTACAGAGAAGCGCAACAAAGTAAGGGGTCTGGAACAGTTTCCATATTAGGAGAAATTAAAAAGACTGCCACTGTTCAGCTTGGAGGAGAGGTGACTAAAGGGGGAATATGATAAAGGTCTATGAAATTATGCGTGGCGTGAACAGGGATGTGTTATGTATCCCTTCACATAACCCATGATGAAGGGGTCACGGAATGATATGAATAGGCAGCAGGTTTAAAACAAACACAAGGAAATACTTCACACAATGTGCAGTCAACCTATGGAACTCAATGCCTGGGGATGTTTTGAAGGCCAAAAGTGTAACTGGGCTCACAAAAGAATTAGATAAGTTCATGGAGGACATCAATGGCTATTAGCCAAGATGGTCAGGGACACAACCCCATGCTCTGGTATACCTAAACCTCTGACTGCTAGAAGCTGGCACTGAATGACAGGAGATGCAGCACTTGATAAATTGCCCTGTTTTGTTCACTCTCTCTGAAGCATTAGCATCAGCCTCTGTCTGAACATAAGATACTGGGCTAGACGGACCATTAGTCTGACCCAGTATGGCAATTCTTTGTTATTACATGAAACACCACAGACACTGAATAGGCAGGAACTCAAACTACCCACCGTGGGAAGGTGATGGGCAGAGCTGACCTTGTTATGACCTGAACTTGTGCTGCTTTGGATTATAGGTATTCCAAACAGATGCTTGGAGCACCAAATTAACCCATTTAAGGCCTACTCCAACTGACTGAAATGATCACTGGATCAGACCCATAGCGAGTGCTTTTTCTCTTCTTTGTTCTGATGGAAGGAGCAGATGACATAAATAACTATTGTAACAATATTTCAATTTTCTTTAAAGTGTATTAAGAATTACAAGACACTATTCTGAAGAATCACAGGAGATGCATTCTTTTAAAATATCTATTGAAATTACAAATTAAACTTTCAGAATGATTCAAAGTACAAAACACAACATTAAAAGGCATTCAACAGCTCTTTTATACATCACAGTGTTAGTGGCACAAAAAAGTACTTACATTTCAAATACATAAACAGAACTTATTTTTACACTGGTCAAATACATCATCATTTATACATATGCATGACTCCTTCATGCGTATCTCTATACAAGATTAAAATACATCCACGGTAAAATGAGCAAGAAAGGTTCAGTTATGTAGCACATTCCTGTACCTAATGTTTCTGGAATTCTGTAAGAGAGATACACAAATCAAAGCAATTATGAAGATCACAGGGCTTTAAACAAAACAGCATGCTTTACTTAGCAAAGAAGCACTGATGCAGGCTTTTCTTGATATCTTTTATGTCACTCTGTGTGACAACTTCCATGTTCTGTCCATCTTTGTAAGATTTTAGAATATATATATACTTTGTATTTTAGAATATATGTATACACACTGTATATACATAGCGAGAGAACATATGGAGTTTGGTTTCAAAAAGCAAACTAGCATGAAGCTTTATGCATACTGTGCATTATCAGGATGAAGAATGTTTTTTATTAAGTACATATATATCCTTAATAGGAAAGGGAGAACCTAGAAAATACATAAAACCCCACTTTTTCTTTCCTACCCACAAAATTTTAAAATCACAAAGTGATTGAATACTCTTCTGATCTAGCAGTATTGTTCCCCTCGCCCTTCCTCATCAGACAGAATATTTTAGGAATCTTAATTTTAAATATTTTCTGCATGTCAGGTCATCAATTCTATGCTACGAACTAGGCCATTCAGTTCTTCTTTGTGATCCATCATGATTTTAAGATAAATATTCCAGGAAAGATTATGATGCCTGAAAAAAACAGAACTGTGCATGATACAATATGAGGATCCACGCTGAAGGTAGTTAGAAACAACTGAAATATTAACATAAAATAACACTGCTAAGTACTTATATAATGTCCTCCGTCAGAGGATCTCAAAAATTTTTAAAAATAATTAAGCCCCACAACAACCCTGTGAGGTAGGTGACCATTGTTCCACCTATTTTACAGATGGATAAACTGAGACAAAGGAAGGATCAGTGACTTGTACAAGAACACTGTGAGGGCCCAATCCTGTACCCACTGAAGTCAATGGGAGCGCTTTGCTACTCTTTTCAGTAGGAACAGACCTGATTCCCAAGTCAGCGGTAGAACTGGAGGGAAAAAAACAACCACCTGGAGTTCTGACTCCACTCTGTATTTGGATCTAATCACTAGAAATTCATCCTTCCCAATAGAAAATGCAAACACGTGCTCTGTTAAATTTCATTAAAAACAGCATTTAAGGCAATGCAAATAAAGTAAACAGTAGGATAGATATGAAACACAATCAAAACCATACAGTTAATCTCAATTTTCAGATGAAGGTTTATAACAGATTGTCTGAAATCTGTTATAAATATTTTCCTTAGGAATGCAACAAAGGTATGAGCATTTTTAAACCCACTATTATGGGGCAGTAATGTCAGAGTTTAAAACAATACATTCAGGGTAGTAAATGCCATAGCATCAACAGAGCTTGTAAATCAGTGATTATTGAAGACACCCACTTTTAGGAAACAAAACTGTAGTGGTAAAATTTAAAAATAAGATGTAAGGTTATGATATTCAGCATGACTGAAAGTGATTACAGCATATTCTTTGTGAATATACACACATTATTACCCGAACATCAAGAAGATGTATCAGCTGACAGCTTGGAAATCCACGATAGTGAACCCAAGCATGCTGAGATCACACACAGTCCTATATGTTGGATATGATCAGATAAAACCAGGCATTTGTGTCTGTGTTAATGGCGATCATCAATTGAAATCTAACCTTTTAAAAATGTTTACATCTATAATGCAGTGTGGGACTTTTCCCTTTGATTTTGAAGTAAATTTAGTGCTTTGCAAAGGTGTCAGTGACAACTGTTGGGAGTGAAGTTCTCTGTCAAGGGCATCACAGATTCCCAACACTGCCCTGTTTCATCCCTGATCTGAAAAGACTACTTCTAAGAAAGAAAAAGTAGAGGTTACTCTTTATGCCTCCAATACTATATTGATAGGCCCCTATAAACCAGTTTCTCGGCTGGAACTGCCAACTAGAACCATTTGTGTTGCTTAGTGCTCACATAAGTGGACTGCTGAACTGATAGCCCAGGAAACCTGGGGTCTGTTTTGCCCACTGAACAATTAGTTCTCTGATGCTGCAACTGGATCTGTCCTGTGCAGTTCAGGATTGGAGAATAAGGGCAAGAATTTAAGTCTTCCCACACTACCTTGACAACATGCCTCAGATCTGGAGAAACTAGTTATTCATCCAGTGGTACATACCTATTAATCTTATACATCAAAATGATGATTCAGGGCAATGTGAGTTAAGTACTATCCTGAATCAGGATGCTTTTCTAATGTGGTCAGTCTTTTGAGATAAGGACATACATCCTCTAGGAGGAGCTAGACTGAGACTGAAACCTCATTAGCCACTGAAACCAGGGCTGACCAGTGGTGACTAGTTAAAGTATGCCTATCCCATTGATAAGCTCTTGTGAGCCATCCAACCCCCCATGTTATTTCTGAATAGCTAAGAAAAAAAAAGTCAATATCAGGATTTCACCATTAAAGTTCTGAATGATACACTGTAATGCAAAGCTAACGACATAACATACAACTAACATTGGCTTATCATCAGATTGCGATCTTAAAAAGGTTGAACATCTTAAGACAAAAACTATTTCTGGATCTCCTGCAAGCATTTCTCATTTAGCCAGTTTGAAATACGAATACTTTTTAAAATGAAGAATATTGAAGTTGGACAGAGGAGAAAATCTTCAAAAGTACCTAGGTGATTTAGGAATCTATTTCCCATTTTCAAAAGTGACTTATGCCCTTAGGAGTTTCACTGAAAGTCAATTAGCTTTTAAAAATTTTACCCTGCAACATTTCTGTTCAAATAATCGATATGCAAACTAAAACTAAACATAAAACAAAACAAAACAAACAGTTTTTTGCTATGTCAGACTGCTGTTATGTTTTGTGGACTTGATCCTGCTATGTCTTAGGTGGGAGCCCCACTGACTTCCACATATACACATGATTGCATCATTTCCTACTTCATTATATCTTTAGGTTCTCAAACAGAGTTTAACTTTCACTAGCATGCTCTGCAGAACAGTGGGCTCCGCTTGGACACAGATCTGCCCATGTGTACCGCATTCCATGATCAGGGCCATTACATTAAATTTTTGTCAAATTATTTTGCTGTTTTTGAAGCCTGCATTTACAAAGGGGTCTCTTACAGTTTTCCACAAAATACTGCAGAAGAGTAATTTCTGTGTATTAACAATATGTTGATTTGGACATTTTACTACCCTGGAAAACTTACAACATTGTAAATTAAAAAAGAGAAAAGAACAAGAAAAGAAAAATGATGCCACATAAAGGAATGTTGGAACAAAACAAACTAACCCTTAAAGAGAACTTTGTTTTGTTTTCTCACAGTATGATTATTAACAGCACGTACGATATGATATGAACCCTGGAAAATGGAGTATATATTGTAAATGGTGGACAGAACTTTCACAAACACCTCAGGCGTTTTCATTACTAACTATAAGGATGTCGAGTACTTTTCATAAATGGTAAAGACAGGAATCATTGCTGAGCCGAGAATCTGCTGATAAGCAGAATAAGTCCTGTAATTCCCCCCCCCACCCCCAAATACCTGCCTTTAAGACAGCAGCAAGCTATCTTGAACTTCCAAATATTCAATAGCACAGATATTTACACATTTGGTTTAATCAGGATTTTTTTAATATATAAATAAAAGATTGAGATACCTGGATTAGAAGTTATGTAGCCCTCCCTGTAAGTGTACCAGACTCCTTAATAACAGCAAAAATTAACCATTCAGAAAAAGACTGGCGATCCAGTGGTAATCAATAACAACCATACATTTTTAAAAGAATCTTGATTAGGTAGCAGGTTTGTGACATCACTCAACCTTACAGCTTTCATATATTTATTTTTAAAAATGTAGTTTTCGATTGAACAAATAGCATGTAAGACTTCCTAAAATTCCTGGAAGGCAGCAATTCCAGCTGTACCCTCCCCAAAATTCAAGAAAGGCATATGATGGTCAATATGCACCTTAATGATTTCCATTATCCTTGGAAAAATAAGTACTAAAAAGGTTTTTGCCATTGCAATATTAATAAAAACACAGTTGTAATAAACAGATATATTAAAGCCACATTTAAATGATAGGTGACTCAAATAGGAATATGAATAAGACACCTCATTTTGATGCAAGTGTATATGTGAAAACATTTGATTTGATTCATTTTTAGGTTGTTTTGCTGATGTAACATAGCACAGTTCCTAGTCCACCAATATGGCCTCTGTGGGCAACATGAAACCGTTAGTTTTATCTAGAGAATCTTCATCTCTTAATTTCAGACACTTATCTTGTTCCACAACATCCTCTAAACATCTGACTTGCCTTCCACTACCTCACCTGACTATTAGTAGTTGGTCTATGTAACTGTACTAACAACAGTTCCTGGAATCATGGCACTGTCACAGAAAAGCAGGATGGGGGAAGTAAGGCTACAACAATGTAAGTGCAAGAGGGGAAAAAATGTGTGCGCGATGAGTCCCATCTTCTCATGATCTAGGTAGGTAGAGGGTCATCATCTCCTTTATTACATTTGCACTTGCAACAAAGGACAAATGGAGTAGCAAGTAAAAGGAAAGGCGAGGCCACTAACAGCAGTAGACCAAATCCCGCAAAGATTCCCACCACCTGAAAAAACAATGGAAAAATGACATGCGTCAGTACTGCAATTGGCACAGCAGGGTTCAAATTCTGTTCCAACACAAAGTCAATGCACTAGGGGAGAAATCTTGGCCCCACTGAAGTCAATGGCAAGACTCCCACTGATTTCAATAGAGCCAGGATTTCAGCATAGTTGTAGATTTTTAAGATTTTTGTGTTTAATAAAATGTATATAACTAGAGTTAGCAAGGTGATTTCTAATTTTCAGAATGGGAGAATGGTAGCAGGCTCTAATCTTGAGAAAATAATTACTAGACTGAAATGGTCCATTTCCCCTGTATCAGTCAGAATTCACAACATGACACCTACAAATTTCAATAGTGCAGGCATGCATTCATTCACACACCCTAGATTAAGCAGATGTTAATTTGCACTGAACAAAAGACAAGGATGGGGTTGCTATGTCTCCTGCACTTACCGACTCTTATTCAGTGCAAGTGGATAGTTTTACCTTTCTTTCTTTCTTTCTCGATAAAATGCGAATTTTAAGCCTCTAGCATCTGTGGTGTTTGAGGAACTCTGCTGCCAAGGGCAAACATGTTTATATTAGGGAAGTTCCACTGACAGATTCTTACAAGTATTCAAGAAGGGACACCGTTTTCCTATTTGGTCTCAAACAATTTAAAATTCAGCGTGAAGCCGTCTTAGATATTTCTATAGTACCTATCACTACACAAGTAGTTATTTGAAGTGTTGACTGACATTTTAATGTAGTCACATGTTTGCAAGCATTTAAAGTTCCCTTGAAAGAAGATTAAAGTCTTTATACAGCTGAGGTTGCTAAGCACTACCTGTGCCAACACATATAGAGTTTGAGTTCCTTTATCTTTCCTCTGTCACTGAAATAACCCAAATACAATCACCCACACAGCTGACAGAAAACGGGGAAGGCGTTGGTTTTCCTACCAAGGAGCAGGCTGTGGGACTTTGCTTTGAGGCGCCAAACTTTGCCTTAGCTTCTGGCTAGCAGGTACATAATACATTTGATCCCCCATCTCTCCCCTCTGATTGCTGAAAGGGAGGAGTATTTTCTCTCCTTCTTTCTATGCTTTCCTCCAACCCCTGAGCTTCCTGACAGCTACTAGAATGGTAGGGTGATCTCACCATAGTCTACTTCTCCCTCAGCTGCCTGGCTGCTGGTTCTATTCCTCCCACAGCCTCCTTTTTTTGAGCCCTTCTCAATGAACAGCTCTAGTGCCTGCTGCTGCATTCCCAAGCATCAATAGGGTGAAACTGACCTATTTCTCATCAGTTTCACTGCTGCCCACAACCTTCCCAATAGCAGTAGTGGAAAGCCACAGCGTAGGAGCTAGAGGGCTGCTCGGGCCTAATTTTTAAGCCCGACCCGAAAGCAATCTGCCCGACCCGAGCCTGAGAGAGCTGAGTTGTTTTGCAATACGAACCCCAACACTTCCCCCAAACCTATCACCGCTGCTGCTGCCTCCGGTCCGTGGGGTCAGTGCGGCCGCTGTGAGCCCCACTTCTGCCAGCCGCTGCTCCCTGCTCCACTGGGTGCTCTGTGGAGCAAGAGGCACTGCATCTCACTGGTGCACGCACCCCACAGCGAACACAGTGCAACAAGTTGGCAGTGGCCAGCAGAAGTAAGGCATGCTGCTGCCGCACTGACCCCACAGGCAGAAGGTAATCAGAGGTTACCCGACCCAACCTGAGCCTGAGAGGGTTGGGTTGTTTTTTGATACACCTAACCCCAGCCCAACACTTGTAGTTGGGTCCCATCAGTTTTGGGATGGGTTGCTGGGCTCTACTCTGAGCAGCAGAAACACTGCACACTTAAGTGAGGCAACTCTGCACTGGTTTTCACTCATTTCACATTTGGAAGGTTATAGGTTTTTTTTTTTTTTAAAGTGATGCTAATTGCCTGAGAAATCTTCCTACTTGCCCTAAGCAAGAGAGTAGATTTTGGAAGGCCTGCTTGCAACAACCTGTCTGCAAGTCATTCAACATACCCACCAAGAATTATTCACAGAATAATTGTGAATAATGAATACCTGGAAAAAATCACCTGCTCATGAACAATTGCAATTTGAATGCTAGGGCTCCCTGGGCACTACAGTAATACAAACTATAACACTAGTATCGCATTATTCATTAGGAATTCTTCTCCCAGCTCTCGTCAGATACTAAACATTCTGATTAATTGGCAAATATTTCATTTGGCATAGTGTAGAAAATATACTCTAAACCTAAATTAACAGGCTTATTGATACCTGCTCTACCAGGGACTATTTTTCTTCCTGAACACTGTGGATTTCTTTCTGCAATTTACTTTATCCAGCTATTTTTTATTCCAGGGCTGAAAATCAATACGGAGTTCAGCAGGTGGCGCTGCTGAACAAAATTAAGTTTGAGGAGTGAAGTGCACACTGCTTTATTATGCAATATTAGACGAGGCCTTTTATTTTAAAAGAACAGGCTTAGCTGCGGCTCTCCAGAGACACGAATCTCAAATTTCTTTGACCTAATATTCTTATTTTTTGCCAAAGACAATTACTTTAAAATATCATTTTATAAGGTACCTTTCACCACATATGCCTGTGTCAGACAGGCAGCTAATCTGACGCGTCTGCGTTTAACGTCTTTGGGGAACCTGCTGACACCGAAGGGTGAAAGCGAAGCCGAGATTCTTCCCTGAGCTTCCTTTAAATTTCCTACTGAGCTGCAGCTGCGGCCCATACTGATCTTTGGCAACGGCACATACACAATTAGCCACATGCAATCTTCTCAGTGTGCCACTATGGGGCACCATTAGCTGAGCAGAGCCAAGGTGAAATTGAACAATATAGAAGACTGGCAAACAGTGCTCTTTACTATCAAACAGGAGGCCAGCTTACATTTTCCTTTCAGCTCAGACATGCCGATCAGTGAATTTATCCAGGATTTTTAAGATCAGGTCAACAGGCTGTCTGGTGAGCATCAGTGATACATCTTCCACCTGGTGGACTTGGCTGCTGTTGAACAATAGGCTATTTCCTAGCATGTGTAATGTCTAGAATTGATTTTTTGCACTAGAAGTACACCACTTTGCATTACAGCATCATGCCTTTCACCTTGATGTTATGTTATGCTCCTCTTGGTTAATACTCCAAGAACGCTTAACGTAATGGCCCCCATCCTGAAAACACTAGCAATCATAGTGCTCACCAACCTGGCTTCGATGGGAATTCTCAGAATATCAAAGTATCAAAAATATCAAAAGTCTCAAAAATTTGGGATTGAGCGTAACAGCTCTTGTATGTCATCCAATTAACGGGTGCTCGTGCTACATTTCTTGACATCTCCATTTTTCTAATTAGCAATGCCAGCAACATCAGTCATATAACCAATTACACCACAGTGCAGTGTAGCAATCGTTACAACGATGGAAGAAATAGACATGGGCAAATATTTGTTACAGGAGTTCTTTTCATTCAAAATCCGCCTGTTTTACAGGTCACTAAACTTCTGCAAATTTGGGGCAATTTTACAAATCCTTTTAATGCAATTTTGAATCCAATGTTTTCTACTCTATTTATAAAAAATAAAAAAGCGACTTTCACTGACGCATTCACCCTAAGAAGAGAGAGGGGAGTGCACGGACAACAGCTGAGCTGCCTAGTGGATTACCCGGGGCTAGAAACACAGAGGTTCCAAGTTCTAGTCCCACGGCTCACACCCAGCACCAACATGACAACCGTGAAATGGCTTCTTACAGTCAAGGAACTGTCTCCACTTTTCCCGTAAAGGCTTGCCGGCCCCCCCAAAGTCACATGCTGCATCCTCCACATTTCTTGAAGCTGATGCAGAAAAAGAGGGCTCCTCAGTGAGATATGCCTGTGGCCTGCTTCACCGTGAAACAGAGAGAGACTGACATCTGAAGCCGGTGAAGAAGGGGGGCGGGATACAAAAATCCTTTGCTCATGATTGGTTCTTTACTGCTTGACTGAGATCAAAGGAGAGAATTACCCTAGTGTCCATGCAGACTCACCAGCCCAGGGACAACTTTATACTAATAAACTCAACCAGTTCTCAACCAGAAATGTATGTCAGTTAGGAGTCAAAATCCAGGATGGAGTCTGACTGTGTTATTCCTTGTTAATGTCTATCTTTGTACCACAATGCCCTTTCCTCAGCTATTGAATGGTGAAGACACTTAGACTCACATGCTTGATTTGATCTCTTTTTAGATACAACTGAGAGAGAGAGAGAGAGAGAGAGAGAAAAAACCATTTTATTGTGAACTTTTATGAAGTTTTAAAAAGCTCTAAACCTACCTGTGTTCTGTGCCAGATAACAGATGCCCTGGAGTGACCTAACTTGTTTCGACAAGGTCCTTTGTCATAATGTATAAGGAGGAAATCATCCTTTGAAACATTAAATAGAAACATTAGCAGTTAATAGAGAGTCTCTTTTCCTTCAAGATGGAGCAGATAGTGGCAGCAAAATAAGAACAAAATATTACAGAAGGGAGCAAGTTTCAAGATCCCTGAAAAGCACTGAATATGAAGAGAAAAGTTTCAGAGTGGAAAACCAACTGAAATTGGATTTGTATTCTTGCATGAGTCAGCGCTGAACAGCCCTTCCCAGAGTTGCTCCCCACAGGGTTACTATGGAAGTGATTTCATAAGGTGGAACATAATACAAATACAGCTCATGTTGGTGATAAAGAGAATGAGTTGTGCTGTGCCTGGAGGAAAGGCCAATGCAGATCAGAGTAAAGCACTGTAGGAACCTTCAGCAAGAAGATAATAGCAATAAACAAATGAAGAACTAATAGCTCTATTTTCATGTATTTTAGATTTCCATGCGCATCCACTCAATATTGTACTCCCCCTTCCTTTTCCCTATTTTATATCAGATCATGTGGATTTCCCTGTCTAGCAAAGCTACTGGTGCAGCTAAGAATCCTTTTTCTCAGGAATTAAAATGTCCTATCTTCTAACCAGGGAATGATCTGAAAGGAAAAGTGAAATCACATGGATAAAAACATTTTCAAACCTGATTGCTTACAGTCAGGCACCTTAATAAACAGACTGGTTTTCATAGGTGCGGTGCACCCACAATTGGAGTCAATAGAGTACTTGGTGCTCATCATTTCTGAAAACCAACCTGCTTATTTAAATGCCTAAATAGGGGTTTAGGCAACATAATTTGAAAATACTGGCCATGTTAGGTATAGAACATGGGAAGAGGACAGCTACTTCTTGGATCCCAAGCCTCTCAAATGTGGCATTTATTTTGCAGCTGGGAAAGCAAACCAAGGCAGATATCTACCCAGTTCTACAGAGAAAGACGCATCTGCTTCCAGATCTGGATTGGTCACTCTTCCGTACAGCAACCAACGCAGGCACAGGGGACCTCTGCTTTTTACTTAAGTATGGGAGTACCCATGAGTTAAAACTTATCCGTAAGGCATTTAGACATAACAATTGCAGGATTTGGAATAGTTAGAGTACATTTTTGGGACATGAAACATTTCCTCTGCCATTGTTAACTACACTTTGCAATAAAACGTTTCCTTGGCTAATATCTGGAAACAGATGTAGCATATTGTATATACTCCAGTGCTTAGGCACAATAAGATATTGGCTTGTTTAAAATGTATAAGCCCAGGACAGGAAGCAGCATAAGAGTTAAATCGAACTCCTACTGCTCTCAGAACACATTTGTTCTTCATACATCAGTTCATTGGCTTTTTCTCTTACTTTGTGCTGCAGAAGAGATGTAATAACCAAAACAAATCAACGTCAAGAAACAACTCTCACTACTGAAGTTCAGCACTAAAATGAATACTGACACTCTACATGGGATTCTGTATTTAGGGCTACCTTACACTATCATGCAGAACAAAGTAATACAGATATATTCATCCTGCAAACACTTTTTAGAATATAAATTCTTCAGGAAGGAGCTGTCTGATTTGTGTGTACACGGTACAGTATTAAACATAAACTATTTAGATGCCACATGGAGATGGCAAAGGAAGAATAATTTTCATCAAATTTCAAATTACAACTTCTTTCCATCTCATTTATGCAAAGGGTGAACAGCTCAACAGCTCTTCAGGTGGGGCAAGTAAGATCAAGTGCACAAGGACCATCAAGTAACCAGCTAAGGTCCAGCTCCGCCCTTGCCCATGCATTTTAGCAGAGAAATAGGTGCTAACAGTAGTGATACAAAAAGGTTCAGAAGAAACACAGCATGTGAAAGAGCAGCTAGTAAGGATATCCATAGGACAGTCTTAAGTCAGCATAACAAACTTGTAAGCTTACAATATCCACCGAAGCGTGGAGTGTATACTCACATCAAGAGATTCCAGACAGTACCAGCAAAAGGCATGTTTGCAGTTTTTACACATCATTTGGGCACAACCCTCATCTCGCTCAATATAAACTTTGCACTTTGGACAGCGTTTGATGGGAGCATCATCATCTTCCATTTTATACATAGAACTGTGGGAGACATTTGAAGAAGTTTATAAGGTGTGTACCCGTGCATGTTTAAAGCAAAAATAACATCCTAATTGAAAAAAATCTGGGTTTGCATTTTAGTTTTGTGATCCGTTTTTTTGTTTTGTTGTTAAGTATCCAGAAAGCAGATCTAGTACAACAATTAATTTTTATAGTGCCTATCAAACAGCTATGCACTTACCAGATAAAACACATTTCTCTTATCTACCAATTGTTTTCTGTGACCTGGTGACATCAGTGTGTACAATGCTCTCAGCTGTCAGCTGAGCACGTGGGAACCAATCTGAAGTCAGTTTTTTACATGCCTAGTCTGTCTGCCTTTCTCCTCCTCTTTTATTTCTTATGGGAGAAGGAGAAAGGATCTGCATGTGGAAAACAGGGAGGCTGACAATGCCCTGCTGACCCAGGCTATGGCCCATGGGCTTAGGGATTCCCTGGATGAGAAGGCAAAGGGAGAGACAGAGCGTCCATGAGGCTGATCTCCTAGGACTTTCTCTCCAAGCCAAATTCCACTGGGTTTTCCTGGATACCCTGTTCCTCCAAGGCTTGCCTCCTCCATCATAGTTCAGGGCAACTGCATCTGCAATTCCCCTCTGTGATCCACTGAGAGCCCCTACCCGAAAGCTCCCAGTTCCTTAGCTGTCACTCTCTTGGGTAGACTCCATCCTAACCAGGGTTTCGCCAGGCTGCACAGTTCCCTGCCTACACTGTGATGTCCCCAGAAAGCCAGACTGCCTAAACAGGCCAGCATCTGCTTTCTCTCTGAAGGACAGGAAGAGAGGAATTGCCCCGAGTTATAAGTTACCACCCAGCTCTTTATAAACTAGCACATTTATTCTTAAGACGAAAGCATTCTAGAGAAAACATAAAAACAACAAAAGTTCCTCTATGCATGCTAAAAGCTTACCAGGGGTCACCCTCAGTAGGCCAAAGTCCTTCCAAAATGACCCCCCTCACCCCACCCCCCCGGCCCTTCAACAGTAGGTCTTTGTTCATTTGCTGGATCAGAAAGAAGGCCCCGAGTCAGTTTAAACTCAGGCTATTTATCCCTTTCTTTCTCTCTTGATCTCTGGAGAATCCAGTCTGAACCATCAGATATGAGCCTCTGCAAGTGCTGGCCCCCCTCTGGAGGTGTTACAACCTAAGTGAACTTGCCTCATACCCCCTACTGTTCTTTGTTCCTGGAGGAGCTGTGGTCACTCTCCTGCAGGGAATTACATGCAATCCCTGGCCCACAACGATACATCAACTTCATACAGTAAGATCTTCCAGAGATATTGCAGAAAATTGCCTTATCTGTGATATTCCCTCTCTCCAGTGCTGGCAAGGAGCTGCTGAATCATTGCAAGCACCAGATTCACAGTGCTGCTTCTCGATCTCACTCCTGCCTGCAGTAGTTCACTCCACATGGAATGGGTCCATGTCAAGGAGCAGGAGTGAGAGGGCATCCAAGGAGCATTTTTTTCCCTGGTTTTCTGGAAGAGTCTTAAAGCTCCTCCTGCTCAGTGAAGGCTTTAGGACTCTGTAAGGTCTAGAGAAAAGGATGGTGCCTCAGACAAAGTTGTTGACAGCAACTACTCCAACGGGAGGAAGGAGAACAACAGGGGAGGACTCCCAACCTGTAGATATGCTGGAGGCTCGGGATAGGATACAGAGGGACCTAGATAAATTAGAGGATTGGGCCAAAAGAAATCTGATGAGGTTCAACAGGGACAAGTGCAGAGACCTGCACTTAGGACAGAAGAATTCCATGTACCGCTATAGACTAGGGACTGAATGGATAGGCAGCAGTTCTGCAGAAGAGGACCTAGGGGTTACAGTGGACGAGAAGCTGGATATGAGTCAACAGTGTGCCCTTGTTGCCAAGAAGGCCAATGGCATTTTGGGATGTATAAGTAGGGGCATTGCCAGCAGATCAAGGAACGTGATCATTCCCCTCTATTCGACATTGGTGAGGCCTCATCTGGAGTACTGTGTCCAGTTTTGGGCCCCACACTACAAGAAGGATGTGGAAAAATTGGAAAACGTCCAGCGGAGGACAACAAAAATGATTAGGGGACTGGAACACATGACTTATGAGGAGAGGCTGAGGGAACTGGGATTGTTTAGTCTGCGGAAGACAAGAATAAGGGGGGATTTGATAGCTGCTTTAAACTACCTGAAAGGGGGTTCCAAAGAGGTTGGATCTAGACTGTTCTCAGTGGTAGCAGATGACAGAACGAGGAGTAATGGTCTCAAGTTGCAGTGGGGGAGGTTTAAGTTGGATATTAGGAAAAACTTTTTCACTAGGAGGATGGTGAAACACTGGAATGCGTTACCTAGGGAGGTGGTGGAATCTCCTTCCTTAGAAGATTTTAAGGTCAGGCTTGACAAAGCCCTGGCTGGGATGATTTAGTTGGCGATTAGTCCTGCTTTGAGCAGGGGATGGACTAGATGACCCCCTGAGGTCCCTTCCATCCCTGATATTCTATGATTCTAGTGACGAGAGGCGGGGTGGGGACTGGACAAAGTCCTGACTCCAGATTGGTTACTACTTCCTGACTGACAGATCAGAGAAGACACACACCCGTGACAACCACACCATGGGAAAATCTTTTGAACACACAAATTACATTTGTCATTCCCAGCACGTGCTGGCACAAACTGGTGCTGGGACAATGGTCGCCAGCAAGTTGCAAGGACAACCGCCAAATGTTCTAAACCTACAGAAAAGAAACACAAATCAATCAGAAAAGGAGTACTTGTAGCACCTTAGAGACTAACCAATTTATTTGAGCATGAGCTTTCGTGAGCTACAGCTCACTTCATCAGATGTATACCGTGGAGACTGCAGCAGACTTTATATACACACAGAGATCATGAAACAATACCTCCTCCCACCCCACTGTCCTGCTGGTAATAGCTTATCTAAAGTGATCATCAGGTGGGCCATTTCCAGCACAAATCCAGGTTTTCTCACCCTCCACCCCCCCACACAAATTCACTCTCCTGCTGGTGCTAGCCCATCCAAAGTGACAACTCTTTACATAATCAAGTCGGGCTATTTCCTGCATAAATCCAGGTTTTCTCACATCCCCCCCACCCCCATACACACACAAACTCACTCTCCTGCTGGTAATAGCTCATCTAAACTGACCACTCTCTAAGTTTAAATCCAAGTTAAACCAGAACATCTGGGGGGGGGGGGGGGTAGGAAAAAACAAGAGGAAACAGGCTACCTTGCATAATGACTTAGCCACTCCCAGTCTCTATTTAAGCCTAAAATAATAGTATCCAATTTGCAAATGAATTCCAATTCAGCAGTTTCTCGCTGGAGTCTGGATTTGAAGTTTTTTTGTTTTAAGATAGCGACCTTCATGTCTGTGATTGCGTGACCAGAGAGATTGAAGTGTTCTCCGACTGGTTTATGGATGTTATAATTCTTGACATCTGATTTGTGTCCATTTATTCTTTTACATAGAGACTGTCCAGTTTGACCAATGTACATGGCAGAGGGGGCATTGCTGGCACATGATGGCATATATCACATTGGTGGGTGTGCAGGTGAACGAGCCTCTGATAGTGTGGCTGATGTTATTAGGCCCTGTGATGGTGTCCCCTGAATAGATATGTGGGCACAATTGGCAACGGGCTTTGTTGCAAGGATAAGTTCCTGGGTTAGTGGTTCTGTTGTGTGGTATGTGGTTGTTGGTGAGTATTTGCTTCAGGTTGCGGGGCTGTCTGTAGGCAAGGACTGGCCTGTCTCCCAAGACTTGTGAGAGTGTTGGGTCATCCTTTAGGATAGGTTGTAGATCCTTAATAATGCGTTGGAGGGGTTTTAGTTGGGGGCTGAAGGTGACCGCTAGTGGCGTTCTGTTATTTTCTTTGTTAGGCCTGTCCTGTAGTAGGTAACTTCTGGGAACTCTTCTGGCTCTATCAATCTGTTTCTTTACTTCTGCAGGTGGGTATTGTAGTTGTAAGAAAGCTTGACAGAGATCTTGTAGGTGTTTGTCTCTGTCTGAGGGGTTGGAGCAAATGCGGTTGTATCGCAGAGCTTGGCTGTAGACGATGGATCGTGTGGTGTGGTCAGGGTGAAAGCTGGAGGCATGCAGGTAGGAATAGCGGTCAGTAGGTTTCCGGTATAGGGTGGTGTTTATGTGGCCATTGTTTATTAGCACTGTAGTGTCCAGGAAGTGGATCTCTTGTGTGGACTGGACCAGGCTGAGGTTGGTGGTGGGATGGAAATTGTTGAAATCATGGTGGAATTCCTCAAGGGCTTCTTTTCCATGGGTCCAGATGATGAAGATGTCATCAATATAGCGCAAGTAGAGTAGGGGCTTTAGGGGACGAGAGCTGAGGAAGCGTTGTTCTAAATCAGCCATAAAAATGTTGGCATACTGTGGGGCCATGCGGGTACCCATAGCAGTGCCGCTGATCTGAAGGTATACATTGTCCCCAAATGTGAAATAGTTATGGGTAAGGACAAAGTCACAAAGTTCAGCCACCAGGTTAGCCGTGACATTATCGGGGATAGTGTTCTTGACGGCTTGTAGTCCATCTATGTGTGGAATGTTGGTGTAGAGGGCTTCTACATCCATAGTAGCCAGGATGGTGTTATCAGGAAGATCACCGATGGATTGAAGTTGTGACTTTGTGACTTTGTCCTTACCCATAACTATTTCACATTTGGGGACAATGTATACCTTCAGATCAGCGGCACTGCTATGGGTACCCGCATGGCCCCACAGTATGCCAACATTTTTATGGCTGATTTAGAACAACGCTTCCTCAGCTCTCGTCCCCTAAAGCCCCTACTCTACTTGCGCTATATTGATGACATCTTCATCATCTGGACCCATGGAAAAGAAGCCCTTGAGGAATTCCACCATGATTTCAACAATTTCCATCCCACCACCAACCTCAGCCTGGTCCAGTCCACACAAGAGATCCACTTCCTGGACACTACAGTGCTAATAAACAATGGCCACATAAACACCACCCTATACCGGAAACCTACTGACCGCTATTCCTACCTGCATGCCTCCAGCTTTCACCCTGACCACACCACACGATCCATCGTCTACAGCCAAGCTCTGCGATACAACCGCATTTGCTCCAACCCCTCAGACAGAGACAAACACCTACAAGATCTCTGTCAAGCTTTCTTACAACTACAATACCCACCTGCAGAAGTAAAGAAACAGATTGATAGAGCCAGAAGAGTTCCCAGAAGTTACCTACTACAGGACAGGCCTAACAAAGAAAATAACAGAACGCCACTAGCGGTCACCTTCAGCCCCCAACTAAAACCCCTCCAACGCATTATTAAGGATCTACAACCTATCCTAAAGGATGACCCAACACTCTCACAAGTCTTGGGAGACAGGCCAGTCCTTGCCTACAGACAGCCCCGCAACCTGAAGCAAATACTCACCAACAACCACATACCACACAACAGAACCACTAACCCAGGAACTTATCCTTGCAACAAAGCCCGTTGCCAATTGTGCCCACATATCTATTCAGGGGACACCATCACAGGGCCTAATAACATCAGCCACACTATCAGAGGCTCGTTCACCTGCACACCCACCAATGTGATATATGCCATCATGTGCCAGCAATGCCCCTCTGCCATGTACATTGGTCAAACTGGACAGTCTCTATGTAAAAGAATAAATGGACACAAATCAGATGTCAAGAATTATAACATCCATAAACCAGTCGGAGAACACTTCAATCTCTCTGGTCACGCAATCACAGACATGAAGGTCGCTATCTTAAAACAAAAAAAACTTCAAATCCAGACTCCAGCGAGAAACTGCTGAATTGGAATTCATTTGCAAATTGGATACTATTATTTTAGGCTTAAATAGAGACTGGGAGTGGCTAAGTCATTATGCAAGGTAGCCTGTTTCCTCTTGTTTTTTCCTACCCCCCCCCCCCCCAGATGTTCTGGTTTAACTTGGATTTAAACTTAGAGAGTGGTCAGTTTAGATGAGCTATTACCAGCAGGAGAGTGAGTTTGTGTGTGTATGGGGGTGGGGGGGGATGTGAGAAAACCTGGATTTATGCAGGAAATAGCCCGACTTGATTATGTAAAGAGTTGTCACTTTGGATGGGCTAGCACCAGCAGGAGAGTGAATTTGTGTGGGGGGGTGGAGGGTGAGAAAACCTGGATTTGTGCTGGAAATGGCCCACCTGATGATCACTTTAGATAAGCTATTACCAGCAGGACAGTGGGGTGGGAGGAGGTATTGTTTCATGATCTCTGTGTGTATATAAAGTCTGCTGCAGTCTCCACGGTATACATCTGATGAAGTGAGCTGTAGCTCACGAAAGCTCATGCTCAAATAAATTGGTTAGTCTCTAAGGTGCTACAAGTACTCCTTTTCTTTTTGCGAATACAGACTAACACGGCTGTTACTCTGAAACAAATCAATCAAAATGCTAAGCAAAACATACAAGTCCTGTATCATGCCATGAAGCTCACCACACTTGAGCTTTGGCGAGCGTGAGTGAGAGCGCGTACCAAATCTAGGGGTGCTGAGAGTCCCACTGCAGGCCCTGTAGTGTTTTACCTAGGAACCGAGAACAAGAGCAACCTAGCCAGTCAGCTGTCATTACAAGATAGAAGGGGACAGGCAGTCTTGAGAATAGCCAAGTCCCAGACCATTCCTGGCTTTAATGATCGTAACCAAGACCTTGACCTGCTGCAGGAAGTGAACAGGGAGCCAGGGATGAAGCCTGAGCACAGGTGTTATGTGCACACAGCCACCTGCCCTATTCAGGTGGGCAGCTGCATTCTCTACCAATGGAAATTGCTAACTGGTCTTCTAATGCTGCCTTAAACAAGGTTCAACAATCACTCCCTCACTCCTGGAAGAGCGGCAGTCATGGTGCCACTGACAGAGGCCTCCTAAAATAGCCAACCAGAATCAACTAACCCTTAAGCCCCTGGAATAGCAGCAGCAGTGAGTGTGGAGGGGGACCTGAGGTGGCTGAATGTGTCGTTGGCATCAGTGGAGGAACAGATAGAAGAGAGGGCTGGGCAAGCAGAGCTGCAGATGGTGCCAGGAGCCTGGGTTGTCCCTCTGTGCTGCTTTAACTGGTTCCACCTGCTCCCTGATGGTGGTGGTGGGGCAGCCAGGCCACTAAGGGAGCCATCACCATCCATCTCTGTGTCAAGCACAGTGTCTTAAAAGAAAAGAACTGGAATGGCTGCTGTGGACATTCGCTTAAAAAACCAACAGGAGAAAATGGCCCCTTGATTGGCGATGAGGTTACATTCCTCTTATTACGCATCAAGTAGATCTTTGCTGCTGCCACTGGGCAAGTTACAGTACTGTACCTTGTTTCTCCTGGGAGGAAGGTGATTGGTATATTCTCTTGACAGCCTTGTCCTGGATGCCAGTTGGATTTACAAGATGAGCAGAACTCTATGTCACAAGCTTTGCATTGAACCAGCTGCGGATTTTGTGGCCCTGATTCTTGTAGTTGGCAAACTGCCTGACAGGCAGAAGATGGACACCAGGTCCGACATGGATCCAAAAGCACTTCTGCAAAAGGGTATAAAATAACCAGAATCAATGACAGCTACAGGATTGTCCTTTAATTATATACTGCTTAAGAATGCTCACATGCTCAGATTGCTCATCAGACCAGCTGTTTTCTAAAGAGGCTTCCGGTTTTGTTTGCCCCATCTGACACACTTGTGGCCTGATTTGCAGATTTATTCAGCATCAGAGACATCTAAAATTATAGACCACTTTTCCAAATGTGGGCCTACCTCCCTAACACTGCACTTCTGGAAATGGCCTGAACTAAGTGATTTTACATTGTTCACAGAATTATAGAACCATAGGGAGCGCAAGGGTCATGTAGTCTAACCCCCTGCCAAGATGCAGGATTTGTTGTGTCTAAACCAGGGGTGGCCAAACTGCGGTGGCCAACCTGCGGCTCTTGAGAAGTTAATATGCGGCTCCTTGTATAGGCACCGACTCCGGGTTGGAGCTACAGGCACCAACTTTCCAATGTGCCGGGGGGTGCTCCCTGCTCAACCCCTGGCTCTGCTACAGGCCCTGCCTCTACTCCACCCCTTCGCATCCCCTCCCCTGAGTTTGCCATGCCTTCACTCCTCCCCCACAGAGCCTCCTGCATGCCACGGAAGAGCTGATCGGGAGGTGCGGGGAGGAAGGGGAAGGCGCTGATTGGCGGGGCTGCCAGTGGGTGGGGGGGCGCTGGGAGCAGGGTGGGCACAGATTGATGGGGGGCTGCTGACGTATTACTGTGGCTCTTTGGCAATGTACACTGGTAAATTCTGGCTCCTTCTCAGGCTCAGGTTGGCCACCTCTGGTCTAAACCATCCAAGACAGATGGCTACCCAGCCTCCTTCTGAAAACCTCAAGAGAAGAAGCTTCCACAACCTCCCAAGGCAGTCTGTTCCATTGTCCTACTGTTCTTACAGTTAGGAAGCTTTTCCTGAGATTTAATCTAAATCTGCTATGCTGTAGTTTAAATCCATTGCCTCTTGTCCCGCCCTCTGTGGCAAAAGAAATAAATTTTTCTCCAATCTTTTTATGGCAGCCTTTCAAGCATTTGCTTTCATGTCTCCACTTAATCTCCTCTTTTCCAAACTAAACATACCCCCAGTTCATTCAGACTTTGCTTATATAGCTTGCATTCCATCCCTTTGATCATCTTTGTTGCTTGCCTCTGGGTCCTTTCCAGTTTCTCTACACCCTTTCTATACAGTGGTGACCAAAACTGGACACAGTACTCCAGCTGAGGTCTAACCAGTGCTGTGTAGAATGGTGCTATTACCTCCCATGACTTCCATGCTGTGCCTCTGTTAATGCAACCAAAAATTGCATTTGCTTTTTTTGCCACAGCATCCATCACATTATTGACTCATGTTGAGGTTGTGAACCACCACAACTCCCAGATCCTTGGCAGCAGTGCTGCTGCCAAGCTAGTTATTTCTCATTCTGTATTTCTGCATTTGCTTTTTCTTCTCTAAGTGCAGCACCTTACCTTTGTCTTTGTTGAATTTCATATATAGCCCAGTTCTCCAGTTTCTTAAGATCCCTTTGAATTTTAGCTTTACCCTTCAAAGTGTTTGCAACCCCTTTGTGTCATCTGCAAATTTGATCAGTATGCTCTCTATACCAACCTATTAATAAGGATGTGAAATAAGAATGGCCCCACAACCGATCCTTGTGGAACCCCACTTGAGACCTCTTTCCAATCTGACATCATTCCATTCATAGCTACTATTTGTTTGCAGTTGCTTAACCAATTATGTATCCACTTAATGGCAGTTCTACCGAGCCCACATTTCTCCAGCTTACTTATCAGAATGTCAGGTGGGACCATGTCAAAACCCTTGCTAAAGTCAAGGTATATTATGTCCATCGCATTCCCCCATTCACAAAACCAGATACGTTGTCAAAGGAGGAAGTCAAGTTTGTTTGGCATGATTTGTTGTTATAAATCCATGCTGGCTGCTAGTGATCACCCTTTGATCCTCCAGGTATTTACAAATTGAATGTTCTATACATTGTTCTAGTAGCTTCCCAGGTATCAAGGTCAGGCTGACTGGTCTATAGGTCCCCGGCGCCTCCTCTTCCCCCTTTTTAAAGATGGGCACTACGTTAGCCCTTCTCCAGGCTTCTGGGACCTTTCCTGTCATCCATGAGTTTGCAAATATTATTGCCAGTGGCTCTGAGATTCCTTCAGCTAATTCTGTCAGCACCCTGAGGTGAACAGCATCAGGCTCTGCTGATTTGATTTCATTCAGATTGGTCAGATGATCTCTGACCTGTTCTTTACTTACCCTGATCTGCATCCCTTCCCCTTTATTGTCTATGATAATTTTGTTAGTGTTCACTTTTAACTTATGGATTAAAACTGTCCCTGAGAAGGGGAGGGGATATTTTAAATTTTATTGAACAAAATTATACTTATATAGTTAATGGAGCTTATTTCATATTTTGTAGGCATGTGAAGTTCTCACCCAACTCAATAGAAGTTTTTGTACAGCACCTAGCCCAAAGGGGCCCCATTTAAAGTTGATTGGTAGGCACTGCCATACTAAAGATGACAAATTAATAAATAAATAAAAATAATAGAAAAGAACATTATCTCGTTTTACCCCTTTCCTGGAGGCTGGTTTACTGGTAACTCAGGGCCTGATCCAAAGCCCACTGAAGTCAGTGGAAACAGTCCCACTGAATTCAGTGGGTTTTGGATCAGTCGCTAAAAGAACCATAACCAAACATAAACCTCATTCTAAGTTCTCTCCCCTAGTGTTAGCAGGTCTCAAGATATTCCACCCAGACTCAAGTTCTCTTGCCTCCTAGAGTGCCACACAAACCCCTCATATTCAGATTAGAATCAACAAAAAGCACCTGTCACTATGCCTCACCAATAATTACCCTAGACCTGAAGAAAAGCTCTGTGTAGCTTGAAAGCTTCTCTCTTCCACCAACAGAATTTGGTCCAAAAAAAGATATTACCTCATCCACTCTGTCTCTCTGCTCCCCTGGGACTCAACACAGCTATAATACTGCAAACAATAATTATTTTGCAGGATTCCAGCACCCGAACTTGGACTGGCTCCATAGAAGACCCGTGCATTTCTATGCAGGGTCCTAGGTACTGCCATCCTACCATTAGTGCTATATAAAGCATACAGGTGCATGCTGCCCAGAGAATTCCCCCTTTCAGTAACATATTAATATAATATGCAGCAGTTTTCTGTCTGCAACTCAGTTTCCATCACATGGTACATGGCAGCATGCACGTAATCGCAGGACCTGATAAAGGAAGAAACAATTTAAGCTTTATTCCGCTCACAAATCATATAAGGCTCCAACACTACTGTATAAACACACACAGGACCACAATCTGATCTCTGTGACATGGATCAATCTGGGGGTAACACTATTCCCATATATTTGGGAGACAGCCATTGGTCTGGAGTAAAGGCTGATGTTTCATACTGTACCTCTTTCAAACTGTAGCTTCTTGTACCTTTGCATGATTTCTGATGCAACCATACACTCAATCTGTTAAAATAAAAAAAAGAGAAATTACAAACTGGAAACAGCAATAATCCAAGGCATTTCAAATGAATGGAGACCCAGCATTTTACCTTTATAAATGATTAAAACATATGCTGGCAATAAACAACAGCTGAAATATACCCTGAGCAAGACACGTCTGAATATACTGAAAGAACCCATGTGCAGTAAAAACATACCTCATTTTCTTGTAGATGACCTCGCTTTGGGCAGGAAGCATCAGGGCAACTAATTGCTGTTTCTAGACCTTCTTTGATCAAAAGTTCCACATACTGTTTCAGGCACTGTAAAAGAGGAGGGTGTAACTATTCTTCCACATATAAATTATTCTGCATATCATTCATGCTTTGCCTTGCTCATCTGAAGATTTAAAATCACTTTGCAGAGGTGGGTAAATATTATTTCCCTTTTACAACTGGGGAAATAGACAAACATATTCAGAGACTTCCCAAGGTTATACAGTAAACTAAATAAGTGGCAGGAACTACATCTCCTGAAATCAATTTCCATGCTCTAGTCATTAGACAGCTTTGCCTCAATTAAAAATTACACAGTAAATAAGAGGCAAGTAAAATGGAATGTTAGGAAAATAAAAGATAAAATTAGATTAACCAGTCTTCATAAATCCCTCAGATTTATATCACCAGAAACCATAACAGTTTAGTAAGCAGTAGCTACCCATTAAAAGTCATCTGTCACATACAACAGAATGGGAAAGGTTATGTGGCTTATTTCCCATTCCACAGAAAATAACTAACTGAACTTCTTGGTGAGGATTCAGAGGAACAGCCGTGTTAGTCTGTATTTGCAAAAAGAAAAGGAGTACTTGTGGCACCTTAGAGACTAACCAATTTATTTGAGCATGAGCTTTCCTGAGCTACTGATGAAGTGAGCTGTAGCTCACGAAAGCTCATGCTCAAATAAATTGGTTAGTCTCTAAGGTGCCACAAGTACTCCTTTTCTTCTTGGTGAGGATATATTTCATTCTCAATGTGAAGGAAGAACGCACAAATGAGGACTCAAAAAAGAATGTCCTGCATAATAAAAACAATTATAAATTAATAAATAATAATAATTATGCATATATATAGTATTCTTCATCCCAAAGGATCCCACTGAGCTTTAGAGAAAGCAGAATTGAAAATATGGTCTCTAAAAGTGTGGCATACGGCAAAACACACAACAGCTGGAGGGAGGAAAGGTGTTCTGGCTAAGGGCAAACCTCTTCGCTTATGAAAAGAGCCACACAGGGATCAGATTAAGCCAATACCATGTGCTATAGTGGCTTTTCTCTTTGCCCTTAGCCAGTCTTACTTCCCCCCAGCTGCCATCTTGCCCTGGCTCTCTCCTCAGCTCCCCTCCTACCAGCTGCCACCATCTTGATTTATAATGTCAGCACCATAGGCCAGCACCATATGCCAAATGCCAGCACTATAATCCACCCCCCTCCAGGTCTAGGCAATGGAAACAAAATACCAGAACTACAAATAGCACTTTAGTCCCGCCACCCCTCAACTGACAGAAGCATCCTAAGCATCAACACATAATGACATCTCACTTTTACTTATTTACTTCACCTCAAATCACTGAGTATTTTCAGTGAAATGGTAAGTATCTGAGAAGCCGGAGGAAATCAGCTAACCCACCAGAAATAACGTGAGTCATGTGGACTTGTGTTATGCTTAGAAATACAATACCAACTGAAACCTCCCTCTCTGCTCTACAGGGGAGAATCAAAAGTAAATAAATAAATAAAAACTTTAAAGAACTCTCAATTGGCTTTCTACTGAAATAACAAGTGGTGAACAATTTCTCCCGTCTTAATTGTACCATCACATATAATGCACCCAGTAACGGCAGAGATCCACATTTATATTCTGCTCCTTCAGTCTTCCCTATGCACACTGTGCATTCTTTAAGCCTGTCTGCATGGCTCCTTTGTGAGGATTTGTTCTTCATCCCACACTGATATTTTGGCTTTCCCCTCTTGCATTTTGACTATGGCAAAATCCTCGCTTTCTCCCAACATCATACTTTCAACTACTGCAGTGAGTTACTCCATTGGTGGCAATATAGCTCTTTATATCCCAACAAATTATTTTGTCAGATTCCCCATTATAAGGTGCGTTTTTTTTTTTTTTCAGGAGAAACAATATCTCAGCTTCTTGGAGAAAAATAGAAAGAAACTGAATAGCTGATACTTTTAAAAGTTACCGTTGCTGTGGAAACAGTAACTCTGCATCTTTGAGGAAAGTATATTAAGGCCCATCTCCTTGCCTTTGTCAGAACAAAAGCAACGAAGACAGGGATTCACTGCAGGAAATGCTTGGCTCCTGGAATATTTCTGATCTACAGTCTCCTGCTCGGCTGGGGCTGCTGGGAGTATGGCTGGCAACTACCACAGACAGCTGAAATCTGTGAGACCAGGGCCCTGGACTGTGGATCTCAGCACCACCAGTGGCAGGGGTATCAGTCCTACAAGGGTGCCATTGTTGGCTCTTCTCACCCCCCCATCTGTAAATGGAGAGTGTGGATTCAGATGAAACAGCATATATATTTAATGACAACACTTAACACTTAAAAGAACAGTTTTTGAGCTCAGTGCGCTTTACCATCATTAATGATTAATTTGGCAATTCTCTTCACCACCCTGTTTGGGACCTTTGCCAAAGCCAGTCAAACATATGTTCCCCTTTTCTAACATCTTCTAGGGAAGGGAGAAGCTCATCCCTGCCTTGTCCAATACTCAGGGCCTTCTCTATCCACTAACTTATCATTGAGCTTCACATACTCTTAATACCAACCAAGCCAAAATGTGCTTCTCCTGCTACATCTGCTTAGGAACCCAGCTTCTGCCTTGAAGCCAGTAAGTGTCAGGCAGAATCTGTCCCAGGTCCTGTCCCGTAAGGGTTTTATTTCAGGCGAGGCTCTTTCTGGCTGTTCAAAATTCCCTTTTCCATATAACAGAGGCTCCTGGGGCTGAAGCAGCAGCAGTGTAAGCTCCCTCCTCTTGGGTGGATCTCTCCTCCCCACACTACCTGGAAGTGAATGCATGAGGTGGCGCCAGCATTAGAAAACCAAAACTGGTAGCACTGTTAGAAATTCCACATTGCATCAGCAGATCACCATGTCCACCCAGGGAATGAAATACAAAACAGATTATGTGCCCAGTTCACAATCCAGAGCTCAGTAACTAACCTTGATGCTGTTGCCGGCACCCAGTGCCGAGAGGCTGAACAACAGCTTGAGTTGGTTCGTTACCCGGTGTGCTACACCCAATAATCACAACGGGGTGGAGAAGCAGAAAAGTTTATTTGAAGCTTCAAAAAGGTACAGGGAGATTTGAATCTCAAATCCTGTACAACAGAGCAGGAAGTTACACAGGCTTTTATACATCCTTTTTCCCAGCATACTTATCCAATAGCAAGCTGCTCCAAGTATCCATATAGCCAGCCAATCCAGTTCCCAGCTAGTTCCCTGATTCTCTGTATCATTTGTTAAACTATACATAAAGCTGCTTTATTCAGCATTGTTCTTCCATATCTCCCCTGTTTGGCCTTGCTTAGTTTCAGGCAGTCTGACTCTGCAACATACTGTTGCAGATTCTCAGCATAACTGCTGTGTGTGCCTCCAGGCGGGGGGGCCAAGGACACTTGGGCCTAGCACGCAGAGCTGCTGCGAGTGCCTCCAGGCAGGAGGGGGGGGGCAAGGACACCGGGGCCTAGTGCGAGGGGGCTTCATCGACACTCGTGGTCTTCCATCCCCTCGAGTTACCTAGTGGCCATGCCCCAGTGTTCCCAACAATGCTATCCCTTTTAAACCATCCCAGTAAAATTACTGTAGGATTTTCCTCCTGTTAAACCTTTTGTAAGATTATTCCTAGAAGAACAAAGGGGCAAAGTGATTAAAAAAAACAACCCCATCCATGAATTGCTATTTGAGTGGCAATCACTGAAAATGACCTGTAAAACGATCAGTGCTGTGTAACAAATCTCCTAGGAGGGAAGGGGAATTGAGATTAGTTGCCTAGTGGCTGGAATGGGTGAGAGAAAGTGGCAAAGGCATCTGCCTGCTATATACAGGCTCTTGTGAATACCAACATGTTAAGCAGCATTTTTATTTTCCTTGTAACGAGACACTAAGAAGAATCATCTGTATCTAAAAAAAACAATTTCCACTGAATTAACTTGGTCATGTGTCCTTACTAACAATACTTAAAACTTGTAAATAAACAAACAAAATTTAAACAAAATATCATTGCAGCTGCATTAAACTTGGCAACTGTGAACTGATTATACAAACATTAATTCTTTAGTCTCAGTTGAGCAGTATCTGAGGGGATGGAAGTCCTGCTCAGAGAAGTTCTTCATAACTCAAGATACCTTTGTTTCTCAGCAAGGGAGAGTAAAGCAGCCAGAGTGTACTGGCCAGTTTCCCCCAGATCCTGACTTCCACATTCCCTGGCACATGTGCACACAATACCATTTTCCCTGCCTTTTCCATTCCCTTCTGTCCTCCCCTCCCTCCTCCCCACACAACTGGCCGATTCACCCATACGAGCCGAGGCACTGAAGACTGTTCAAGTAATGACAAATAATAAATCCTCCGGTCCCAATCCCATTCCAACCTAGGTTTTCCAAAGTGGAGGAAATCTCATTCACGAGCTCTTTGAATTTTTCTCACATATCTGGCTTCAAGATGAAAGATTCCAACATTGTCACCATTTATAAAAATCTTGAAGAGCGACTATGATAACTACTGCAGTATCTCTTTGCTTTCTGTGGCCCGCAAGATTCTTGTACGGATCCTCTTGAACCAACTCCCCAGGGCTGCTCCTAGCTATTCTGGGGCCCTACGCAGCCCCTGCACGGGGGGCGGGGGGGGAAGAACGGGACAGGGGCTCGCCCCAGGCCTCCGTGGGGAGGGAGGGGGCTGGCTTGGGGGACAGGGGGGAACCACTCCCCAGCACTCACTGGTGGCGCGGCTGGGGCCGGGTCGCTGCACTTCCTGCCACTGGTGAGTGCAGGCCCTGCCCTGCTGCACTCCTCAGCAGCAGGAAGGGGTGGGGCTGGGGTGGAGCAGGGCGGGGGTCATGGGGAAGAAGCAGAGCAGCTGCGTACTTACATTCTGTATTAAACTCCAGCAATCGTAAGTGCAGAAGGCAGATGAAACACTTCAAAGGCACTCAAACAAAATCTGTGCAAAACAAACATTTCTTTGAGCAACTGGCGATTGATGGTACTGCATGGCACCACACCATAAGACTGGGTATCCGTGACTTTGA